CTCGGAAACGAGATGGGGACCTCCCCGAGTCACTCCCTACCCAAGCAGGTGGGCTCCATAAACCACCTTCAGGGACGGGCACCTCTCAGGCCCTCCCGTTTGCCCAGAGCCTCCAAGTGCTGAGGCATCCGAAGGAAAGCTCTCCGGAGGGGCGGCCAGATGGGGCAGCAGGGAGGAGGGCCCGTGCCTTCTGAATCCTGGGATGACAGAGATGGGTGTGTGGGCCAGCCCAGCCTGCTGTGACTCAGCACTGCCGAGCATCCTTCCCAGGACTCCGCGAGCCCCCTCTGTGCCAGGCACCTGCTGGCAGAGGGAGCTCAGCTCCGGCACAGCCTGCGTGGCCAGGCTTTCCGGAACACTGGCTTTCCAGTAGCTCACCTCAGGGAGGAATGTGTTCCTCCAAGGATGGCCTCAGCTGTAGCCGGGCACTCCGAGTTTATCAGCGGAAAATGCAGCCCGGCTGGAAGTTCACATTAAAACCCCAAGCTCCTGGGGCGCCTGGGTGGCGCAGTCGGTTAAGCGTCCGACTTCAGCCAGGTCACGATCTCGCGGTCCGTGAGTTCGAGCCCCGCGTCGGGCTCTGGGCTGACGGCTCAGAGCCTGGAGCCTGTTTCCGATTCTGTGTCTCCCTCTCTCTCTGCCCCTCCCCCGTTCATGCTCTGTCTCTCTCTGTCCCAAAAATAAATAAACGTTGAAAAAATAAATAAATAAAAAAAAATAAAACCCCAAGCTCCTGAAACAGTGTCTGTGCCTGGCACCAGGATCCAATGTGGCACTGCGAGGTCGGCAGCTCGCTTCCCAGGCAGGCAGAGCAGGGAAATCGAGGCACGTGCTGATACTGCCCTCCCAGACCCAAGAGCAGCAGGACCCAGGTTGAGGGAAGACTACCCATCTCACCAGCTTCCGCTGTAAGCCCTCCCACAGCCCTGGGGTCTGCCGATGCCCTGGCTGGATTTCTCCAGGTCCCTGTCGGGGAGTCCCGAAAGGATGATGGGCTATGCAACGTCTCTGCACTTTGGGGGCCGTGCAGACACAAACCCAGGCCCTTCCCGTGGCCCTGTGACCTGCTGGTTCAATACCTGAAGGACTCCTCCCTGCTACGGCATGTCCAGGGTCCTGCGCCCCGCCAGGTGGTCAAGGAACAGAGGGCCAGCTCCACGCCCATGACCAGGGGGCCTGGGACTCCGGAAACCAGGAGGGACCGTGGACAGGGCTCTAGACGCCCTGGTCCACTGAGGCTGGGTTAAGTTGCAAACACCCTATCTGGATGTACGCTCGAGCAGACTTCACAAAGCTCAAAGGGTCCGTCTTACAAAAAGCACACATGCCCATCACATTACCCGGGCTTCTGAGAAGGCTACGTCATCTCTGACCTGAACCCAGGGTACTGACAGTTCCCAGATAAACATCAGTCACTAAAGCACTGTATTCACAAGGAATGTTAATGACCCACATCCCAGGAGTCGTTTGGGGGTACGGACGAGAGAGCGCTTCATGGAGCGCAGGGCGGAGCATGGTAACCCCCATCCAGCTGGACAGTATCACCTACCCACCCGTCAATTCTTCCTCAAAGATGGAAAACACGAATTTGACCTGTACCATCACTAGGATGCTCTTTAATGACGGCTGAGCTATCCTGGCTGGGCCTGGTCTGGGGCCCCCTTCCACTATGCCAGGATTTCACCCTTTAGCACAGTGACCAGGCGTCAACAAGAAAGCTATAACCCAGCAAGAAACACAAGCATTAACACTTTCGTTTCAAATGGAGATACCAATTGTTCCAAAAGGTTTCGCCTTCTTAAAGTTCACTCTTTCTTGGAAGGACTTTCCCTAAACAAAAGTCAAAAAAGCTTGTCACCGGGGCGCCTGGGTGGCGCAGTCGGTTAAGCGTCCGGCTTCAGCCAGGTCACGATCTCGCGGTCCGTGAGTTCGAGCCCCGCGTCGGGCTCTGGGCTGATGGCTCAGAGCCTGGAGCCTGTTTCCAATTCTGTGTCTCCCTCTCTCTCTGCCCCTCCCCCGTTCATGCTCTGTCTCTCTCTGTCCCAAAAATAAATAAACGTTGAAAAAAAAAAAAAATAAAAAAAAAAAATAAAAAAATAAAAAAAAGCTTGTCACCAACATCACAAAGGGCAGGCTGATAACCTTTCCCACACATTCCTTTCCCATCCAGCTTTCACAGTCCAGATAATACTGACAAATCCTGAACACTTCACATGAAGAGAAATTATAGTGTTTAAAAGATGGTCTTGAAGAAAATCAACGGAAATATGAGAGATGGGTAATGTCATTTTAATGTTAAACTACTATGTTATACATCAAGGCTTTTTTTTTTTAAACCCAACTGAGGTAGTTATTAATGATTCAGATATCAAAAATTTTAAGTGTCAGAATGTTTTAAAGCACTTCTGAATCCTTTTTAGAACTGCGAGAACAATGAATATTTTTGGCTTCACGATATTTTCCACTGCACTGTAATGAACAAGAAGCTTGGTGTTCAGTTTTAGACCAAAGCAGGGATTAAATCAAGAATGCAGTTTGAATTGCGTATCTATCTAAATACAAAAGTGGGGGAAACAAACCGTAACTGCAGGCAACAGTCTCCCCCAGACACATTCCCCCGCAGCTAACTCTCACACCTCTTGTCCTCCAGCCTGGAATCTTCCCAGCACTGACTCTGTGCTCACTTGTCCCCAGTGGATTAAATTAGAAAGGTAAGGGAACCAGAAAATTCAATTCATAATCCAAGACAAAAGTCTGAGCTTCGGTTTGAAAAATGAAAAGCTACTGGGGTGACCTAATATGCTCCAACTCTTCAAACAATCAAGATATTTAACTCCAGAGACAGATCCCAAACAAGATACCGCCCAAGCTCAAGCTGACTGCAGGGCACCACGCCACGGCCAGACGCAAAGATCTCAGATGGACGTGTGTCTCAAGTCCAAGGCTCAGGGACAAATATCAGACGGGACCTGACACGAAGCACCAGCCCTCCCTTCTCCGCTGCACCTTTATGACCGGTTAACACCTGCCCTCCACCCAGCCCCCGTCGGCCCCTGGAGCTTGTCTTAGAAGGGCAGCTGCCTGCTGGAGAGGGAAACTTAGGGGTACCATTCTCCATTCCGGGGCACAACCTCAAGGGCAGTATTGTTTTCCACTTTTGAAGACTTTCCCCTCAGCTGAAACGGTGCAGCTATTAATGAAACAGAGAGTGCACCACTGCTCTTCCTCCCCTTCCAATAAGACAACACAGTTAGGTGATCCTGGAATCAGGGCCGACTCCGGGGCCACGGCTGGAACCTGGACTTCTGACAAAAGTGTTTTTGGAAACACCAGAATGTTACCTGACCTGTGATACATTTCCCTGCCAGCCTCCGCTGGCATACACCTTGAAACAACAACACTGCTGTCCACCCTAGATATGACCTTTTGACGAGAGGACTTGATTTTTCCTTAACCGGAGACCAAAGTCACACACACACAAAGCCATTCCTTGTACAGATATCCTATGCAGTGGCTGTCACCTCCCCCTGACAACCCCCCCCCCCCCGCAGGACAGCAGGAGGGCTGAAACTGGCCTTAGGGGAGACTGCAGTGAGTGAGGAGCGGGTAGGTAGAAAATGACCGGGGAGGTCCCAAACCACAGGGAGCCAGGAAGCACCAGGGTCCCACCAAGCCACCCCCACCCCCACCACCACGGATAAGGAGCTGCTACAGGACAAGGTTGGGAGGCCAGTGGCTGTACCTGACGCGGAAGAACCGAATCCTCTCTGGGGAAGGCCAAGGCGGAGCAAGGAGCACCACAGGCATGCTAATCCTTCGGCCCCACACTCCGGAGAAATCTCCGACCCCAAACACCACGAAGCACAAGCTTTCAGGTCCCTGGGCTCGTCCCCTAGACGCCGGTCTCCCCAAACAGATCTGCTGCCTTCCCGGAACCGGCGCACCAGGAGGGCACGGATTTAAAGAAACCCCCACCCTGAGAGACCACCCACGTGGGGGAGGGAGGGCGGGGAAGCCCAATCCAGAAAAGCGGTCCAGCCTCGCGGGGAGCAGTGGGTTCCCTGGGTCGTCAGTGACACTGCGGCCACGATGTCCCCTGGTCGCCTCGGTGACCCCACCCCAGCGTCATCGCCCTCAGCCAAGACCCCAGCGCCTCCGCCTGCCCGCTGCGCCGGCCGGCAGCTTGTAGCCCCGGACCCCAAAGGCGCCCCCAGGACTCTGGGCCCCGCGCCCCGTACCGCGGCCCCCCGGCCCCGCGCTGTCCACAGCGGACACGAGCCCGGGCCGCCGGCGGGACGCAGCGCCCGCAGTGCGACTGGCGCAGCCGCCAGCCGCCGACCCCACGGGCGAGGGGTGCACCCGTCCTGGATTGGGGAGCACGCGGGTGGGCGCGGGCCAAGGACCCGGCCGAGGTGCGGGTTAGTGCTGGTTCGGGAAGGCAGGGCCGGGCCGTGCGATGGGGATCCGCTCTGCACACAGGGTAGGAGGGGTCAGCCCGGGACCCGGGGAGAGGAAAGTGGGGGTCCGCTCCAGAACCTGGTAGAGGTGGGGCGAGGGTCTCTTCCGGAGCGCGGGGCGAGGCCGGGGAGTACAGTCCGGGCACAACGGGGACGGGCAGAAGAGGAATGAGGGGGTCCCCCACCACCACCCCGGTTCAGGCAGCAGGGATGAAAAGGTCCTTCCGGGACGCAGGAGAAGTAGGAGGGGGTCGGCTTCGGGCTGTGGGTCGGGGACCCCGAGGTGCGAGCGCGGCGCCCAAGCACGACGGGGATGAGCAGGGAGCGGGACGCGCCCTGGCCGCGGGCAGAGGAAGGAAAGCGCGCCCCGGCCGGAGCGCGGCGGCAGGAGGGTCAGTCTTGGACCTGGCTTAGGAAGGGGTGGGGGAGGCGGGACCCGCCGCAGGGGTCCCGGCACCGTGCGCGCCGGTCGCCGAGCGGAGCGGAGGTGTCGGCGGCCGGCGAGAGAGGGGTCTGCCTGGGCAGAGAGGGACGGGCGCTCACCTTGGGTTTGTACAGCCACTTTCGGAACCTGTTCATCATCGCCGCGCCGGCCCGGCCCCG